TGTACAGGGTCGCTATGAGTTGGAACCGACTCCACGGCACATAACAACAATTAGCAACTCGAGTCCTGGTGTGGCGCTGTGGGTTAATGCACCAGACTGCAAAGCCGTTTGAACTGCAAGGTCGGTGGTTCAAGCTCCCCAGCTGCTCCTTGGAAACCCTATACAGGGTCGCTATCGGGCAGTCAGTACTCGATGGCACTTAACAACAACAACATGATTCCAAAAGCCAGCATTTTACTTAAATGTGGGAACACACTACTATAAGAGAGTCAAGAGAAAGGCAATGAGTTTAAGAACTGGAAAATAAATGATAAAACTGTATCTGAATGTCGCTTTTCTGTCACTCCTGCGTTGGACGTAAATCACGATGGCGGCCTCCATGTTGCATACGCCGCTGAGGTGGTTTCCCAGTGTTTCACCGTTCAGAAGGGCCTACGGAGTTCAGGTTTCCCTCCAGACTTTTTGCACCAAAGCTGCGCCCCCAGAGGAAGATGCTTTGCCCCCAGCTCCCATTTCTCCTTATGTGGATGACCCCTGGAAATAATACCAGAGCCACTATGCTTCTCACTCTGTCTGGCCTAACTCTCCTCGTAACCACAAAGGTGGCATACCACCACAGAGGACTCACAAGACGTGTATCCGAGGGAATAAAGTTGCTGGGAACCCTTGCTCCATCTGCCGGGATCACAGGTTGCATGTTGACCTTGGAACGTGAAGCCCTTGGAACAGTCGGCCTGCGCCCACACTGGTATTATCTTCCACGTTCCGTACACAGATCATGGGCTCCTCAGTTACCACATTGCCCAGGTTGAACCCCGTGACCTCGACTTCAGTACTTCTCCTGGAGCTGTGAGCGGTACTCCACCAGTCCCCACTCTGGTTTCAGGAGACCCCTGGTACCCATGGGCTAGCTGGAAACAGCCCCCAGAGAGAGAGCTGTCCCGCCTGCACCGTCTCTACGAAGAGACAGTGCCCTCTACATGTCCAGAGGAAGCCTCCTCTATGGATCAAGTGGGAGCCCAAGAGTGTCCCATAGAGGCTGCAGTATCCTGGGAGGGGCGGCAGAAGGACTAGGAGATAGTATCCAGAAAGTACATCATGGGAACTGATTATAGTCCACGTCACCCTGAAGAGTTGTTTGTGTTTTGTGGCCATTGGCCACAAAATACCTGAGACTGGAGGATGTGCTGATGGCTATGGGAAATCTCAATCCTCAATTGTAAATAGGTGGGTCAAACATTCTGTTGCTGTTTCAGACATCTGCCATATTAGCTTTTCCACAATAAAGCTCTTGTCTCTCCTGTCAAAAAAAAAACAAAAAAAAAAAAAACTATATCTGAAAATCCAAAGGAATTAACAGCAAACCTATCACAAAAACAGAAGAAAAATAATTAAAAATCCCTAAATTTAACATACCTGTAGATAAGCTTTGTTGTTGTTAAATGCTGTCAAGTCAGGTCTGACCCATAGCTACCCTGTGTAGGGTTTCCTAAGAGCAACTGGTGAGCTTGAACTTCGGACCTTGCGGTTCAAACTGACCTTACAGTCCAGTGCATTAATCCACAGCGCCGCAGCAGGACTCCAGATAAATCTTTGGGGACAGCTTATCTGTTTTTTTGTGGAGGTACAAACCACACTTTCAAATTATCTATCAAAATTATTAAAACATTTATTCTTTGATCTTACTTCGGGCATTTCACTCAATGTTTAAACTTATACAGATGGTGGGGGGGCTTCATAAAGTTCATGGACAAATGGAATGAAAAGATAATGGAATTTTTCACAAACATTTTGAAGTCCCTTCATATAAGAAATGGAGTTTATACAGGGTTGTTACTCATTGCAACACCGTCTGTTGCAGCAAACACTGGAGACATCCTTAGTGTCAGTCCACGTAAGAGACTGTGTGTCTGGAGATAATGTGAATTTGCTTGCAGATCACTGCAGTAAAATGAGTATTGTAATAAAGTCAGTTTCCCAGTGCATATATTTTTTGGTTTCCCAAGGAGACTTGGCAGCATAGTAGTTACACATTGGCCTGCTAACTGCAAGGTCAGCAGTTTGAATCTACCAGCTGCTCCATGGGAGAAAGATGAGGCTTCATGATCCTGGAAAGATTTACTGCTTCGGAAACCCACCACCACCATCACCAGTGCATATAAAAGTTATATTTCCATTATATTGGAGTCTACTTAGTATGCAACAGCATTACAAAAAAGCTTGACGATATTGTGAGCTTATGAAAATGTGCCACAGGAACACGAAGTGGTCACATGCTATTGAAGTGGGGCTGTTAAACTTGCTCAATGCATCGTTGCCACAAATCTTCAATTAGTTGAGAAAAAAAGAAAGCATTGTCTTCAAAAGCATAATAAAATGAGGTACGCCTCAATTAAATCATCTGTGGTATACCCACATAGTGGATTATTAACCAACTATAGAAAAGAATGAGAACACTGTATGTAGCAATACAGAAAGATTTCCAGAAGTGGTTAGAAGAACAGAAGATACTTCTTGAAAGAAAGACAAGCAGAAAAATTAAAAACAATAACGGCAGTCTGATGGACTACTACAAGAACAAACAAGTTGTTCGCCCAGGAGACATCAAGGCAAGCGGTCGGGTCCCCTCAGGACAAACCCCCTTCCAAGACTGAGACTCAGGTAGAATACACAAGCAGGCATGTGGTCTTGCTGGTGACCACGTTGGTCTACGAATAAGGGGAAGTGGGGGTGGGGGAGAACAGCAGTGAAGTTGTGAGCTAAGTTCAACCACATTCAATAGACTCCTGTCAACCTGGGTTGATACCTGATTGGCCAGCAGTATGGCGAGACCCGGAGATCTCTGGGCCCAGAGACCGGACATGGCCACAGAGAACTAGAGTGGAGTGAAGCATCCAGCTGATAGGAAGTGAGGGGAGATGCACAAGAACACCCACACTTGCAGATAGTACCCACTTGATCTGGCATCAATGGCTTGATGATCAGAACTCGACTAGAAGAAGAGAGAAGAGGAAAAAAGAGTAATCCGCTACAATTTGACGAACTTGACTTATGCTTGTGGATGAGTAGGGCAAAGGATGGAAAAAATCTTTACAGTGAGGATCATTCCCACCCCCTTGGTACACAGGGTCAACAAGGGCAACTTAGACATTGGTTACCCAAAATGGGGAGGCTGCAAAGGCAAGAAGTGACTGGCTTACAAGCTTTCAATAGGGAACCTAGTTCCAGAGGGTACGGAGAAAGGTAGACTCTCCATTGAATGGTTTCCAACCTGTCTGGACAGGGCTGAGGAAGAGAGATGGGGATAAGACTCTTATGGTTCAATAGTCAATGATTGCTATCAGGACTGACTGTGAACGTTGGAAAGGTAAAGGTAGATGTTTTGTAACAGTAGGAGGGGAGTGGTTGATTTTGCAGCCCAGGAGCCAGGTCCCTGGAACCATCAAGGCAGAAAAGCGAAGTGCGTGACCCTATCCAGAGAAGCAGTGACGCCAGACATGGAGGCAGAGACGATGACATGGAGAGAAGGAGCGGCTGGGGACTCTAGACTCAGGGAGGGAGGTGGGCTGTGTGTTGATGGCTGGGGGGCAAGCTTGCAGGGTGTACCCTTTAGTTATTTGATGATGCATGCAGGGGATTGTAATCATTGCAATAAAACGAAATACGATAGGATAAATGTAAAGATAATGTTCTCCCATGTAAACTAATCACATAATTCACAGTAAAAACTTTTAAAAAAGAAAGATTTCCAGAATGTATCGCTAGGTGTAATAAGTGCAGACCATCATATAAGTAATAGTTGGTTATTAAATTGGCTATTAAATGAAATACTAAAGCAGAAAACCCCTCTGCTACTGAATCTATTATACTGAATCTTTCTCATACTAACCGTGTAGGACAGAGAATTACAGTTTCTAAGACTACAAATCTTCACAGGAGCAGACAGCTTCATCTTTCTCCTGAGGAGCTAACTGTTGGTGGGTTTGAACAATCAACCTTGCAGTTAGCAGTCCAACAATTAACCCACTGCAGCCTCAGGGTTCCTTCTAGAACCGAGATGAGAAACAAGAATAGATATTTGCTTTGCTTATAGTTTTATAAGCACTGAGCAAATACAGAAACTACTAAGAATTGTTGAAGGTAGAAATGGGTTAGGCAGGGAAAGGAATAGAAGTAAGACTTCTCTCTGGAAGCCTTTCCATGTGGTTTTGATGTCTTTGAAATATTTGCATATGTTACATTCAAAAAATAAATCTGAATAAAAGAAATGTAATTCTGTCTGTTTCCTGTGAGGGTAAGGGCGATCATCTTGTTTAGTGCTGGCTTTTTTTTCTTTCCTTAAAATTGTATTTATATTTGTATTGAAAGTATGCACGGCAAAGCATGCATTGATGCAACAGTTTCTACATGTTCAACTTAGTGACATTGATTACATTCTTTCAGTTGTGTAAGTATTCTTACCTCTTGTGAGTTGTTCATCCCTCATTAGCATAAATTCACTGTTTCCTAAGGTTCCTATTTAATCTTTTGAGTTGCTTTGTCAATCTGAGATCATATATATAGGTCTTTAAATAGCATAATGCTCAAGGCAGACCGTTTTCATGAGTTAAACTAAACTACAGTATTGGTCAATTTTAAGAAGACTTCAAGGGATAGTTTTAGTTTATGGCTTAAATATTATTTCATGGCAATCATTTCAGTGGTTCATCTACCCTCCATAGCTCCAGAAAGTCTAGAATCCATGAATATTTAAAATTCGCTGAGTTTCCCCCTTTTAATCATGATTCTTTTATGGAATCTTTGACCAAAATGTTCAGTAATGGTACCTGGGCACCATCCAGTTCTTCTGGTGTCGTAGCAAATGAAGGGAATTAGCCACACATTCCATATCTTCCTCCTATTCCCGACTCTCCTTTTTCCTCTGTTGTGCCAGATAAAGAGACCAATTGTTGTGCCACTTGCTTTAATACCCCAGGCACTATTCACTAAACTAGGAGGTAGGACAGAAGCACTCATATGCCAGTTAATTGGGACGTCCCATGAAACCATAATCCTAAAACTGCAAATGGATTTCTTATTTTATTTATGTATTGAACAACTATCACATAGTGTTCTTGGTTTAATTGTAGCTAAACTTAGAGTTCTTGGTGGTGCAAACAGTTAAATGCTACACTAGTAACCTAAAGGTTGGCACTTCAAACTCATGCAAAGACACCTTGGGAGAATGGCCTGGTGATTTGCTTCTGAAAGTGCACTGCTTTAAAAACCCGATGGAGTTCTATGTCTGCTCTGCACACATAGAATCATCATGAGTCAGACTTGATTCCATTGTAACTGGTTTGGTTTGTTTGAGTTTTTTGAGGGGTGGGGTCACTTGGGGGATTACTCATTTCGGACCTCCCCAGATAAGTTGGCAGTATTTTCCCAGTCTCCTTCCAGTGTTCTCTATGCAGACTTTAAGATTCAAGACTGATTCAAGGGTAGTTCCCATTTCTAGGAACCAAGGATAATTCTGCAAAACATGTCTATGATTCCATGAATTGATGGACTATAAATGGAAAAATTTCAACAAACTCATGCAGCCCTGGAGGCACTCACTCATCTATGCCAATAAATTTGGAAGACAGCTACCTGTTTTTGTGCCCATTCCAAAGAGAGGTGACCCAACAGAATCCATAAATCATCAGACAATATTAATATCACATGCAAGTAAAATTTTGCTAAAGATAATTCAAAAACGGCTGCAAGAGTACATTGATAGGGAATTGCCAAATGTTCAAGCCGGATTCAGACAAGGACATGGAATGAGAGCTAGATGGATCTTGGCTGAAAGTAGAAAGATGTTTACGTGTGCTTCATTGACTATGCAAAGACTTTCTACTGTGAGGTTATGACAAGTTATAGATAACATTGCAAAGAATGGATATATCAGAATATTTAATGGTGCTCCTGAGGAACCTGTACATAGATCAAGAAGCAATCATTGAACCAAACAAGGGACACTGAATGGTTTATAATTAGGAGAGGTGTGTGTCAGGTTTGTATTCTTTCATCATACTTATTCAGTCTGTATGCTGAACAAATAATCTGAGAAACTGGATTGTTATGAAGAAGAACGTCACATCGCAACTGGAGGAAGACTCATTAACAACCTGCAATATGCAGATGATTCATACTTTCTAGGACTTAAAATACTGATGGAGATCAAAGACTAGCCTTTGGTATGGGTTGCACCTCAATGTAAAGAAAACAAAAATCCTCACCAATGGGCCAATAAATAACATCATGATAAATGGAGAAAAGATTGAAATTTTCAAAGGCTTCATTTTACTTAGATCCACCATCAACACTCATGGAAGCAGCAGAGAAGAAGATGTTCAAGAGCGAAGGTATCAGTTTGAGGACTAAGGTGTGCCTGACTCAATCCATGGTATTTTCAATAGCTTCAAATGCATGTGAAAGTTGGACAATGAATGAAGAAGAACGTTGAAGAATTGATGCACTTGAGTTATGGTGTGGGAGAAGAATATTAAAGGTAAAGATTGCCAGAAGAACAAACAAATCTGTGTTGGTAGAAGTACACCCAGAATGCTCCTTAGAAGCCAAGATGGCGAAACTTCGTCTCTCATACTTCAAACATATTATCAGGAGGTACCAGTCCCTGGATAAGAACATCATGTGAAGGAAGGGTCAGCGAAAAAGAGGGAGAACCCCAGTGAGCTGAATTGGCACAGTGGCAGCAGCAATGGGCTCAAGTTTTGCATCAGTTGTGAAAATGGCGCAGTACTGAACTATGTTTCGTTCTGTTGTTCATAGGGTTGCTATGGGTTGGAACTGACCCAACGGCACCTAACAACAACAATGGCCTTTATAGCTTGCCAACTTTGGTTTTATAGAAAAAAAAACTTAGCTCGTATGGCTTGAGAAACACATTCATACTTGGCCTGTAGATCTCTCTTGAAAGGATGGCAATAGAATTCAAATTTTATTTTGGGCTAGGGTGTTAAGGGAGCCAAATCATCTGATTTTACTGCCTCCATGAACCACATGGACTACATATATTTTCTAAAAGCCATGAGTTACAATGCTCATTGTATCTACAGCCCAAGGCACAGTAGAATTTTCTCTGAATAGGAGGTTTGGTGGAATACATGAGATATGTCTGACACAGAAACCAAGCCTAGCTTAGCAGTAACAGAAGCTGAGTCTTGTCCTGCAAGTGTTTTTGTTCTCCTTTTCCACATGTTTGTCTCCTAATGATCTCTGTGTGCTTTGTTTTGCAAATAGAGAAATCATTGCTCTGGTGGCTCAAGTGGTTCCAATATATGCTGCTTCCCACCTCTTTGAAGGTATTGCTGTAAGTACTGAGCAATAGTCCCTTAAGTATTTTTTGATGTATTCATTTATTCTGATTATAGTAAATTTAAATTGTGAAGAGGGTATAATAGGATAGGTAAGTAATATTTTTAATATATTCAGATCGTATGAATGCTGATTTTAGGTTAGAACTCCCTGGGGTGGTACTGGCTCAGGAGACAGATGTCTTTCAATAGCATTGATAACACTGGTCAGATATTAACAATGTTCACACTGATGGAATGTTATCTGCCTTCCAGTGCACATGTGGAGGAATTCTGAGGGGAAGTGGGAATCAGAAGGTTGGAGCTATCGTTAATGCCATTGGATATTATGTGGTTGGTCTCCCTATTGGGATTTCGTTGATGTTTGCAGCCAACCTTGGAGTGATAGGTAAGCAATTGGAGCTTAGTTAATCACGGGCCGGGGAAATGATCGTTGCCATTTTGTGAGGAGGCTGGGCTCTGGAACTCTTGTGCTTTCATACATTTGTTTCTGAGGTAAATTGTCAGAGACAGTAGGGAGGGTCAGATGATAGCCTCCAGACCTGTTCATGTGTGCCCATGAACCTCTCTCGCTCAAGTGTGCGGTCTTGACATCCTTAAGCAGAATAAGATGCTCTCCCTTTCATTTTGTTTCATGCCACTGATTGTAATGCCCACTTCCTCCCTGTGTTTCTAATTCCTGCTTGTTTCTTAACCCTTCTGAACTTTGTCCTTGGCAAATGCTGCCCTTTCTATTTCAAATGACATGTCATTTAATGTAATATTAAGCCTTTCTTGTGTTATTGTTGCGCCTTCTAGACTTGTCTATGGTTTAACTGAAAATTGAGTTATAGGGGCGAATTTGGCTCCAGGCCTTTAGGATGACTAAGGGTTGTAGTTTCAGAGGTTCCTATCTATCTGACCAGTAAACCTGGTCTTTTTTAATGATTTTTGTTCCATATTTTTTTACTTCTCTAACCAGGGCTTTCTAGTTTGATCCTTTTCAGAGCAGTTGGTAGTGGTAACTAGGCACCATCTAGTTCTTCTGGTCCCCAGGGTCGTGGAGGCTGAAGTTCTTGTGTGGTCCACTAGTCAATTGAACTAATTGTT